TCATTTTAATGAGAAAAATGTTACAAATATGATGAAAAAAATTTAAAAAAAAAAAATCGAAAATAAAAAAGTTTTATTCTTGTATTAGGAGTGTCCTTCTAGTAGGTCACTGTTTGTTTACGTTCGGTCTCCTTCGCTCGAAATGTTGTACCTTTACGATATACGCAAACGGCCACCGTGTTATTTTTCTCTTCTGTCCTTTTCTACGTTCGGCAAGACATCAATCAATGTAAGACCTGTACGATATACGCAAAATCTCAGACCCGAAAGATTTGCGTATATAGAATATCTACTGTACTCGGGAAAAATTCAAAGGTTTCCCCTTATACATAGTACGTACTGTCCAGAGCACGAGAGAAAAGTAGCGGGACGGGAACGGGGCTAGAGGGACGAAAAGAGCATCGCAGTGGTCGGATTGTAACGTTGCCGCCTATTGTCACACGCATTTTCGGCAACAACACGCTATTTGTCGAGGCGCACACATACACTAATCGGTCGCGTGACGCGGAGAGTGGGTCAGATATATGTAGAACAAGCGAGACAGAACGAGCGATACGTTGAGCGGCATTCCATTGTCGTAGTGTCCAAAAGTTTTACGCATCGCGTAAGAGGAAAAAGATAGAGTTTTTTAACATATAGTAGCAATATCTGTTTCTATACCTATGTAAAACCACACCATTACGGATGAACGGTGGAAGCTACGCGTGAGTCGAAAAGTGGCGATTAGGTGGTCCTAGCGGCCGACCCTCTTTGCCCCGTTCCCGTCCCGCTACTTTTCTCTCGTGCTCTGGACAGTACATATATTCGATCGATCAACTTCAGTAGTCATCGTTTGACAAGAGGTCTATTTCGTTGTGTGTCTGCGATTATATCTGAAAACATAGCTAGGACTGTATAAGAGAAATATTCACAAAGTGTCAGCATGCTACTAATGAGGCATGCTAAACTCGTTCATTATCAAGGATTACATTAAGTATGTCACATACATCAGATTGGAGACTGATTTTATTCATGTATGCATTTATAATGTTTATTTGTTCAAAATCTAGTATGGTTAAAGGTTATGTAATGATATTGATTGCTGCCTATACAACAATACTGTATGACAATATATTTATATGTATGAGATATATGTATTAGGCCGCAGACCACTTGTCGGTGAGCCGCATGTGGCTTGCAGGCTATATGTTTGATATGCTTACTATGTATATGCAACATATTAAAACGGAATTCTAAAATAGAATTCAATATACGATCCTGAATGGCACAAATTAAGTAACTACCATTATGCATTAGACTACTTTATCAAGTCCTTATATTGTGCTGCCAATGTACATGATTTGTATCATGGTGCAATACTTTTATGCACTTAAATGTAAATATAACATATTTTGGAAATTGTATAAAAACAGTTTACTGATTTCGATGATTTTGAAATATTTTACAAAACGCAGCATTTTGAACAACCTTTTTCTATACGTGTAATAGCCGTTCGATTTTAATCTTTTATTCATTAACAGCTGCTGTATATTTTACATGTATTTATATGCCGGTAACAGTGTATGTAACATTATAGTCATCGTCATTGATCGTTAATTTTTAAACGTAAATCAATGAGGAATAAATACAACGGGGGCACAGTCTTCGTGAAACTTCTTTCCGCATCACGCTGTTAAAAGCATAAGTGGAGTAAGTATTACAAAATGAAGTTGCTCGAATTCTTTAAGCGGCGCTATTTTTATTTAACTACTGATTAAACTAAACTCATTTCAATGATCTGGAATTTGAACTTGTGTGACCGACGAGAGGATATTAATTTAATCTAACCTAACCTGACCTAATCTACTGATCAGCTAATTAGTCGGTATACTATAATCTGCATTAGTTGAGTTAAAGAAACGATATTATTGTTTCTAATCATAACTAATCCGTTTATTGCGTAAAAAGTTTTTTCCTCTACATCCACCGGTACTATTCCTGAATTTAAAAAAAAAATGTTGGTTTGGAAAAAAAAATGTAAAAATATTTGTTGCCATCCGCTATCAGCATTAAAATTACCTAAAGTAGTATGGAGCAAAACGCAAATAAATGCTAATTAGTAATAATTAACCGATAACAAATGATTACTATATATTTTGGAGGAGAGTCAACGCCAATAACCTTAACGTTAACATGATTTTCGACGTAAATATAAAATTTTCAACAAGTTAATTGGCTGTCTCTTATTTTTTGTAAGATATTCGTGAAAAAATTTTGCTCGCGTTATTCATTTATAATCATCATTTTCGAGCTCGAAAAAATCGAACCGAAACTAATACCAATGCGATATATAAACATTTTTTTTAAACTTGTTTGTTCACTATGTTTGTGTGTGCAATAGGTATTGGATAGGACTAAATTTTTTCAAGTAAGCTGCAAGTAGGACTTGCGATTTTTCCGTTCGTTTTTTGATTCCTTATTAATATTGAAAGAACTTACGTAGACCTGCGAAATAAGAATTGATTACTTATGAAATATTGGCATTTTACAGAAGTAACGTTATAGTATATTGAAAGTAGTAATCGCAAAATGCCGAAACTCGAAAATTGTAAAAGACCAGCGACTAAATGATTAGGAAAAGTTATGCAGAGTTTTATCCTCAACAATATGCAGTAATTCACGAAAGTACTTGAACATGTACTATGAAATATTACATTAACTGTAATAAGTATATCATACAACATAAATTGTGTTACTTCTTTCCCTATTATTGTTCATAGATGTGGAATCGGGTAAGGGGTAACACCACTCTAGGATTTTCAGAAAGTCGATTTTTTTTTCTTTGCTAAAACAATACTTTAGGGTCTTAAGAACAGAATGCCGTTTGATTTATAGTGGAAAACAAATTTTAAATGGTTCAATTATCAATTTTGTCGCAGCGCCTCAGAGCGCGCACTGAGTACTCGCGTGGTATGTTGCAATTTATCGCTTTCGTATTATTGTTATCATTTAAAATAATAAGTTTACTTGTTTCCTACAAAACAAACAGAAGTATCCAAAAAGCTAGAGAAGGTATCAAACACCGATCTGGATAGCCAAATGTATAGTACAGGCATTGCAGATTAGCGGTGAACAGAGAATTTAAGGATCAAAATGTTCATAAAACTTCAAACGCGTTTTTCTCGAAACCAGTTTCTTCATACTGGGAGGACGGATCATACATGTTCATAAAACTTCAAACGCGTTTTTCTCGAAACCAGTTTCTTCATACTGGGAGGACGGATTTCTCGGTGACTACTGCATGGATTGAATTGAAATTTTTACAGTAGCTGCACAACAATATTGTCCTTGGAAGTACGTAGCCGGTTTTTGATTGAATGTAAACTTTTTTTTTTATAAACAATTTAGTGCTCATTTTTCATGCAAAAAGTCGATTCATTCCTTAAAAAACGCATAAAACACAAAAATTGATTAATCAAAAAACCCCTACGTACTTCCAAAACCAATTGTATATAGATTATAAATTCTTTTGATTTTTTATCCCACGACTCATATATAACGAGAAATCCGTCCTCCCGTAGGAGTGTTTTTACAAAAGCTGTTTCCGCCAATCGGCTCTGTCGCCTCCATTTTGTACGAAAATGACAATCAAAAATTATTTTGTCGTAGTTCAATATTTGTTAAATAAACCCTCTGAAAAGAGATTCTTTTCCGTTTATCGTTCTTCCAAAAATATAGCCAAAATTAGGCCTCTTTTTCGGGCTCTAGAGTGGTGTTACCCCTTAATATCAGGATTTTGCGGTGACGTGACTAACATGTGGGGGGTATAGTCCATGTTCGATTCCTTAAAGATTCCTGCAGTATGTTTAGGATCATTATAAATGTTCAAATGTATCAATCAGTTTTACGTTTTGTTTCAAAATGTTCAAACATTTGTATTTGTCTATTGTTTGTTTCATCAAAACCAAATTTCGGGTGCCATCCACTGATATATTCCTACATCATAACTAAAAATACGTCATCGCATGTTTCGTCATAACATGCAAGTTTTTTGTTATTTCGATCTCCGTACTTGTTTATCTTCAAACAAAATTGTGTCAGTCTGATCCAAAAACGTTAAACTTTAATTCATCTGAAAATATCACTTTGTTCCAAATCACGTTATTTTTACCAATAAATTTTTTGGCGATACTTAATCTCTTCTTCTCATTAATATTGCTAATGTATGATTTCTTTCTAGAAAGTATGACATGATAATAATTTTCATGTAGCACTCTCCTGCATAATACTGGATGTAAATCTTTCTTAAAGTTTTGTTTAACTATCGTTGCAAGTTTTGTAGCAGAAATCTTTGAATTCTTTTTTATTTCGTGGAACAAAGCTGTTTCTTTTTTTTCAGTTAGTTTCTTTGCCAGTACAGTATTTATTTTTTACAATATTTCAGATGTTCATTTTTTAATAATATAATTTGTATATTGTAGATCCATATATACTTAATAATTTACTCCTATCATTGTACGTTTTTCCTTTTTTACGCCAATTGACAACTAATCTTCTCTCATTTTTAGGAATTTCAGATGTTTTAGGATACACGATCAATATCGTAAATATTTTACCATAAATGACAGACTGTGACTGACAAATGTATATACAATGACGACGAACAACAATTAATGCTTACATTCAGTGCTTGAAAAACTGTGTCCTCATTGATTTTTTAAACTCATTTCTATGTGTTCAAATACTTCTGTGACTTTAGCCATATTATGTGTATAAGACATAATTCATGTCTATTGTATATACTTTGATTTGTTTAAAATTTTACCGATAGAATTTAGAAAATTATACCTTCTTACAGTGCTAATAATATTTCAATAAATGTTGTATAATATACTTATTATAACTAATATAATATTTTATAGCGAATGTTCAAATATTTTCGTGAATTACAGTATATATAAATATAGTTACTTTCTGTTACAATTATACAATTCTGTTATAATGTACTAATTATAGTTAATAAAGTACTTAATGGTAAATGTTTCATTCAAAATATGAATAAACGATCAACGGTTAATTATCCATACAGTATGTGTTGAAAATAGCAAAAATAAATATACAAGTATGTCGGTAATTTGTCAATATGTCGGTAATAAAGTTTGTATATTTATCTACTAGCTATACGATACCGCTCGTTTAAACGAGACCCTCAAATGTTAAAATAAAATAATATCTAAAATATTAATTCTTCTCTGTTCTCATATCAATTACAAGATTGCATTCGCATATTAAGAGTTCTTGCTTAAAGTTTCCTTCCTAGTTACAGTTTCATATTTTTAAAATAAATTTGTTCAAAGTTTCAATGGTGTTAGTTGTGTTATATTTATATTAAATAGTTTTTCAATATCATATTTTAAAAACTATACTCCCATTTCCATTAGTATGTTTATGAATAAAGTGGTATTTGAATAATGTCCAGCACTGATACCTATTATAATACTGTTAGCATTTCTATTTCCGGTGTTCGTCGGTCACGAAATACATGCAAAGAAGGCCAAACGATCGAGCCGACCGATGGTGCCGAACTATGAGTGTAGTGAATGCGATGCGGCCGAGTCCGTGACGTCGTTTGTGACGTCTTCGGCGCGACTGGAATGACTGCGGTTACTACGTGACCGTTTTGGACACCAGTGAACTGTATGCTCATTGTCAATAGACTGTACTCAATGCAGCACATTAATAATCTTAAAACGATATATTTATTTTAAAAAGAGACTGACGAAAAGATTCTAGAATATTTGGAGAAAGTCTATACTGTTACGTATAGCTGTTGAGAATGAATCGTTGCAAACTTGCTGCATTACATAACAATTCGGGTTATTGTTGTTACTCACTTTATGACTGCGTATTCTGATTAATGATGCACTTATACTTATAATGTTATTTATTAATAACGCTATCTATGAAATAATTCTTTAAAAAAAATTAAATAAA